ATTGATTTTAACAGATTTTTTGCGTTGAAATTCAAATATAAAATTCTTAACTCCTACCCCAAAATATGCCGATTCATAATGTTTATTACAACTAACTATGATCGAAATTTAAACTGTGTCTATTTAAACTGTGCGTGACACAATGATGATAATATCTTACTTTTGTCATTTTTGGCTAAGCCACTACGGATGATTATTGTCATGATTGTAATACTCTGTTTATTTCTTATGTACTGTACTGTAAAATATTTATGGCTGCTTCACCGCAGGTGAAGCCTTGGGTTGTATTTACTATGCCATTAGATAAGCTAATACGATAAAAATCAATGGCAGCGTTATTAAGAAATGTAAGCATTTCAAGTTGATCGAATAGTGGAACTAATTATGTGGAATGTTTGCTGAATAGCATTAGACACTGTGACGTTTGACTTATTTCCAAAGTCAACGAACACTGATAACCAGTGCAAATTTTAATCCAATATACCATGTGGTCCTATTGTGGTTTAATGTCAAATGCTCTTTCATTTTCAAGATGAGCTCGCTCGCATCAATCAAACACGTCCTGGTTGATGTTCGTTTACTACGCTCAATCCGGATATTGTGGCTACACAAATACCAATAAAAATAATCAATTATAATCAGCTATTCGCTTAGTTAATTTTGAAATATTTAAATTGTTCAGATCAGACAAATTGACAACAAAAATTGCGTTGTAAAAAGTCACTATGAGATATTGCTGATGAAGGTATGCGAAGGGGTGGCAAGGTCATCCAACGCGGCTTCTCTTTCATCTACGCAGTTCTAGGCTTCTCTGGACTTCCCCAATACTTTCGTTCTCACGCCGATGAAGGACAGGTCAGGTTGATTGGAAATGGAAAGAAGTTGTAAAAGGTGCTTGTCATATTTATGATAGTCTCTATTCATTTAGGGCTTATAAGGGTGTTGTTAAGTTAGGGAAAGCAGACGCGGTGGCGTTCTTTAGAAGTGGTAGGTCCCGCTCCCGTCAACTTAAATATTTGAAGGGTTTGGTATTTTTTTTGTTTGGAGCAAATATAAGCATTTGTCAATTATATAAGGCAAGGACTATACAGATCTTAGCATACACAGCATATACAGCATATACAGACATTATTTTCTTCCGCGTTCTCTTCCCATTGCGATTACTTATATAGTTAAGTCTTTTTTGTTTTACTTGCGATATCAGTAATGCTCCATATTTATTATGTTGCCAATTTATTGTTAATTTGTATTTTTCAAGTTTCTATGTTAGTTTTACCTGATATTCTCACAGCAATGGCCTTTTCGAACAGAAACAAGTAATATTGGCACGGGCTTGGAAATATGTTTCAAATCAGGCGAAAGTACTTGGAATCACACGATTAGCCGACATTTATGTTATAGAAAGGATTTCATGTGTTCTAAATAACAATCTCTCTAGACATCGCCAGAAGTTATTTTACCATCCATGCGATTCGGGCAACTTTGTCTAGCGATCCTTTAAGCTCGTGATACCCAACATCTGTTGACCGTTATTAAGTCACTGGTATCGCGGTTGGTTAGTAAGTATTCCTTTGGTTAGTAATACATCATAAAACCCAAATACATTAAATAATCAATGCTCAATAGCATTCATAGGAATGCCCTTTTCCTTTGTATTGTATTTTGTAGTTTGTTACTCTAGTATAGACTAGTTGTTTCCAGTTAATATTAACTATACAGTACCTATTTAAAAATCATTAAAAAAATGTAATTACCTTTTAACTTCTCAATACAAAAAAAGGAAGAATTTTAAGCGCTTAACTTTTAACTAACCCTAAATAAAAATCTTAAGCTCAATACTGTTTTAATAAAGGTTTTAACAGAGTAGGCTTAGAATACTGACTGACAGACCAGTTAAAATGTTTATCTTACTTTTAAAATGTTAAATAAGAAACTCTTCACATACCATGTCTTTTTGTAAACACTCTAACGTCTTCAGCCAAATGACCTTGGTTTCGTTGTTCTTTAACCATTATTTTTAGATCATCAAAAGCGCGGCATCTTGAAATTGTTACGTACAATTCCCCATGCTGTAAGCAGGGGATGCAGCTCTAGCAGATAAAGACCAACTTTTCGAGGACGAATTTTAGAGGAACACTCGTTTTCCAGCTGGACTTCAAGTAATAATTTCAAGACTTCATCATTCATAACTTTCGCCATTAATCTGGTTCTATTAACCAGTCCTTTTTTTGGATTTAATTTTCTTAGTAAAATTACAATTACACCTTTTTTGACATAACTTGCGAGGAGGTAAACCCTTATCGAGGAGGAAAATATGTCATTCTGAACAGTGTACAGACAAAACTCTAATTTTATTTGCAGATATTTTATATACAGCACCATTTGATTAACTGTATTTTTTCACTTCTATAACAGATTTCGTTTCTCATGACGCTTGATGAACGACTTATACACCTAATAACAACTTACTTAAATAGGCAATCCTAACGAACTACTGTTGCAGTAAACTTAACTGTTACACATGTTTGAAATTTACAACATCTTGCATAATTACAATACTTTGTGCCTGTTGGCTACTATGAATCGTTTGGATTAATTTAAGATATTAAACTTTTTTGATATAGGCCTACACAAGGTAAATTGACCTCCATGTTACCCAAAATTATACACAGGTCCTATATATATACTAGTGTACATGTTGCTCAAATTCAAGCAATTGCAAAGTATTACAGGGGTTATTTCAAAACCAATAACAGTCATATTTAAAAAAGTTTAACTCAAAGTTTAAAAAGAGTTTAAAAAGAGTCAACTCAAATATTACCATTGTGTAACTCAGACCCTGATTACCTAAATCCCTGATCTTCGTTATTGATAAACCTTAAGCATTCCGGCTGGTTTTCTCCTTCTCAAAATGCCTCGCTGTACAGACAACACATGTCATTGATAGAGGGTCAAATTGAGAACGAAAAGTCTTTTAGGGGTAGTGTTAGCTCGCATTCGTAACATAATAGTTGAGATTGTCCAGGGTCAGGTGCTGACGTATACGCCTCCTTTCTATGTTTCGTTGTTGTCGCGTCAGAGGCATTTAAAAGAAAAAAAACAACAAATAAACAAATTATAGCTACACAAGACAACGATAAATGCACAAATTTAAGTTACAATCATGCTAACACGATCTGTCATAGCGACACAAAGCAACGATAAATATATAAATTCAAGATACAACCATACTAACACGGTCCGTTTTCGTTTTGGGGGTTATGTTTACACAAACTCAAATAGTAAATAAATTTACTCAATGCGTTTCATTGAATCGAAAAATAAATAACAGTAATTAAATTATACAGCTGATCAAAATGTAAACAATTATGTTCTTCATAAGGATAACATGGGAACTTTCAAAGCCACTGGGGCAGAACCCAAGGGACTTTGTAAAAAATGTAAGGCCAGTTGGCAAATCTACGCGACACGCTCTTTCCAATGAGATGTCAATGGATAAAATCGGTTAAGAAATGGCGGAGGAGTTCAACCGACAAAGTTTCATGTAGCGTATTAATTATATACGAGAGGTCGTCCAGTGGTCGAAACTCGACCAAAAATATGTAATGTACTCACTTCTCTATTTTCACCCCACACTGTATATAAAACATGTGATTGGAGTTTCTTCCATTTGTTTTGATTTTCTGTTTATATTTCGTTGTTATTTCGTCACCAGCATGGCAACGCATAAAATCCATGTTATTTTTTTCAAATTTTCAAACTCATTTTTTGTGCTTATCTTTGAGCCTATTTAAATTTATAAAGGGATTCTGCACACCTACAGGAAAATTGCTTTCTAACGGTATGCGCAGATTTACCCCACGATGCACACAAGCTGAGAAAAAAGGTTTTAAAGAAACATGCTTGCCTATTAATATATAGATAGATATATACACCATATTACCACACTACAAATGTAATTCTACAATATACGGTACGTAGTTTTATCCAAACAAACGATCAAACCCCCCTAATGATATTGTTATTTGATTCAATAGTCAATGGACATAAGCGAGTCTTATCTTTCAAAGCAGATTAAATAATAAAGGCAGAGGAATGCGCGAGAACGAGGTCACTTCACGGTTGCTATAGAAACGACGAAACTATCCATTAGAATTGCGCGCCAACGTCAACTAAACTCCAGACTGTATAAACACGCCGAGTGTGTAGTGTTCGACGGAGCTAGGCTACTTTCAGTTGGCAAGACTGGCTTCTAGCCTCGAGCGACGTGGTTCAACCACGAGAAGCGCCTCAAACTCCTGGGTAATCCCCGGTTAGCTCCTCCCACTCTGCCCCCTATCCCCACCTAAAAGACGAGCAAGTGGTAAGTCGGTCGGGTCGATTGACGACAAGTAGGTTTCTCGTATATAATAATTTAGTTTTACAGGCCGGTCAACTGGAATGACGATGAAATAACTTGTCGACGTACTGGTTTTCAGTATTTATCTATTTAATTAAAAAAGACGGTCTAGTGGCCAGACGACCAAGTATCTTGTCGGTCTACTGGTAGGCTCCCCAAGTAAACACTTTATTAAAGGTTCATAATAATTGCGAAAGCTAGGATAGAAAGAGGTATTGTAAAGAGCAAAAGGAAAGGTAAAAGGGGAAGACATTGTTCACTATATTTGGGCCTATCTTGGATTCAAAATACAAAGCTATGATAGAGTGTTTGTTAACTTAGTCAAGTGGGCAGAGCATTGCCGTTGTTATTTTTTATTATTTTAAATTAAACTAATCAGGACAATTTCTTGTAAAAATGTACATTTTGTAGGAGTTCAAAACAAAGACAGTTATTGTTCACAATTATGACATTTTTAATGAAGGCAGTTTCAGTTTGCTGCTCTGATTTTCTTTTGCTCATTAAAAAAATATATCTTAGTTTAAGATGACATCAAGCCGCTAGCATTAATCAAAAAGTTTTACCGTTATAAATCATCTCTGAAGTAGGTTTTATTTTTCAGGTCAACATTATACTAACATGTTGATGAAGGTCATGTTAGTTCATATTTTGAGAAGGTACAAAATATCTACTGTCAAAGACGTTCACAAGTTGAGGAGGAAAATGGTGATAACTCTGATCAGTGTGGAAGGATACGAAATAATTTTGGAAAACAGAGAGCATTAAGAATACATTTTAAATTGACTTTTGTGCCTTAATGGAGTACTTTTCCATCTTAAAGTAAAACCATGTACTTTAGGTTTTAAATGGTGAATGAGGCAATGAAGCTTTGAGTTGTGAAGCTTCATCTTTATTTATGGGTTTACATTTTAGATTAAATTTGTACTGCATAGAACTTTTGTTGTTTATTTTTCCTTTTTCTTTACCCGATTAGCTGCTAACGTTTTACTAGATCAATGTGCTTTCATTAGAATATTATAATAAAATGTTGTATGAAGGTAGCTTACATAGCTGGTTAACATATAGGCCTATTCCTGTTATCATATTTCCCTTGGGCTACGCCCCATGGGCTTCCAAAGTTTCAATGTTTACATTTTGAAAGAGTGTAAATAGTCAAAAATTTTAATTGAAGTCAGCTGTTAATACTAAAATTTGACAGTTGAAACAGCAGAGGTTAAGAGGTACAGGTTCTGCTCCCAAGATTCTAAAGTTTTATGATTATGAGAATAGTTAATTATGATTTTTAAGAAACATTATTTTCATGGAAACAGAAGGATCATTACAATGTATAAATGTTTTTGAATAATTTTGATATGGTAGCTTTTTGTTTACAAATTTGAACTGATCAACAAATATGGTTGGATTAGGATTTTAATAGGTTTTAAAAACTTTAAGAAATATGTAGGGGTTTTAAAAATTTTACTGACTCAATTTTTACACTGTTATTTGAGTTTTAATTTAATTTACAAACTAAATTTCAATTATACCTAATTTTATTCTGTCCAGAGGTAACTACTATACATATATTTTCTCGATAATCTACTTCAAATTCGCTTTTTTACATTTATTTAGGCCCCGGGTACGATACGAGCGGCGAGCGGCGAGCGGTGAGCGGCGAGCGGCATGAGCGGCGCCGCTCTGACATCGGGTCTCATTTGGTTGCGTGTAAATTTGTTGAGGGTGGCCACGATACGTCTGAGCGGCGAGCGGCGGTGAGCGGCACCGCTCAGCGCCGCTCATGGTTCCAAGTCAAAACCGATTTTCGCGAAAACGCCGCTCGCCGCTCAGGTGAGTCATGCTTCTGTTCGGCCTAAAATTACAGGGAAACAGCAACAAACATGCGATACGGGTCGATACGTGAGGTGCAGTCCGTGGAATGTTTTTGAAATGACCAGCACGGAAGTTTTAAAACACTTCAGTCACCAGAAAAGTATGGGAAAAAATTATGGTTAAGGTTTTTCTAAAAACTAAGTTTTTCTTTAAAGGCAATCAATTGTCAGATAGCAACCAAAGTTGCAATACGTCTTGCAGGTAAGCATAGTTTACCATTTTATACTAAACTAACTCATAAAACTTGAGAAATTTCATGAGCGTTATAAAAGTGCCGCTTGTATCGTGGCCATCACCGCCGCTTACGTGCCGCTCAGGTTGCCGCTCGCCGCTTGCCGCTCACCGCTCGCCGCTCGTATCGTACCCGAGGCCTTTACAGAAACCTCCTTAGTAGTTGTGTTTTTTACAACCCTGCTTTAATTTCACTATGGAGAATGAGAATATCACAAAACTAAGCTGCACGCAATTCACTTTTGTTTTAAATCAATCAAATACCTGTAACGTAACTATAATTTCTTTATTCAATGTTTTAAATGATGTTGTAAATTAATACCCCCGCCGCAGCAAACCTGCCGTCTAAGCGAATTTCCATTTGGCTGAATTGATTTTCAATTGATCTATTTAAATAACATTAGGTTTAACGAGTACCTAGGTTTGCTGCTACAAGGAAGCTAATAAAGGCTAATAATCGGTCCCGGGCCTAAGTCTTACCATGAGACCTACGGTAATAGCTACTTCCCTATAGGGAAATTCGCTAATACAAATATGTACATTTTTTAACTATGGAACGAGTTAAAATAATAACTGTTATGTATTGTGTTGTTAAACTATATTTTAATTGATTAAATTTGTGCGCTGATTAACAATAATTGTGGTTGACTTTGTAACAAAAGGCAATACAAGTTTTCCATTAGTTTATTTTTGCTTATTATTGTGATATAGACACTGATCTGCATGTAAAGATTGAATTTTGAAAAAAGCTCAGTAGTATAGGGGTAAAACACATCAATTATATGTGATATCAGTATTAATGTTTTTTTGCTTTAATACAGTGCCTATGTTGATGCGATTATTTTCCCTTCTTTACTTTATATGTAAGTTTTTCAACGAAATAAATGTTTACGTAAGCTTATCATTTCAAAATTTAATCGTATGGGAACATTATTTCCATACATGCATCAACGCATCATATTATGCTGATGCGCCGGTATGATTCGGAAGCGTACGACATGGTGCGGTGGTGGGGGGTGTTCTTATCCTCGGAGTTGCACTGGATGTCTAGACGCTTGTAACAGCTGTTCGTTATTTCATAGATGATTATGTGATAAAAATTGGAAAAAAACTTGACAAAAATCGCACAAAACTGCATTTTTGAATGTCCGTAATTTAATTTACAAAGTAGTGAGGCCATATTTTAATGGCTAAAGACACTCTCGCCAATCCAGTGAATACATTAAAATGACTTGGATCTTGATAGGTAGGCCTACTCTCGTTTTCCTTGAGAAGATAGAGTAAAATGCCATCTTGAGTGTTACGGACAGACAGACAGACAGAAATAGAGATATGACTCGTTTCTGCATCTTTAATGTATAAAACGTAAAAATAACATAAAACTATATAAATATAATTCTGAGCAATGTACAGACAAAACTCTAAATTTTATTTATATAGTTATTGATGTTTATTGGCCCCTCAGGGCTTCAAAAATTGATTAGACAGTGATTCCACACCGCCTACATGCTTTAACAAACCGATTTACATTGGTAAACAGTGAGGTAATGGGAATGGGAGAAATGATCTTGTACTACTCACAAGACGAAACTAAGACCGAGAACTTCGGTAGAAAAGAGTAAACGCACACCCCGATTTCATGGACTTGTGTATCATTATTTGTAATAAAAGTGGCCTAGAAGGTAGCTTGTATCGTATTAAGTTCAAATATTTCAAGCAGCAGTAATTTTTGACTGGTTTCGATCAAAATGTTTGATAATACTATGATAATAATTAAGTAAGACGAGTGCAACGCTATCTGTTGGCTTTTGACAAAACCACGATCTGCATTACCGACGCCGCCACGGACAAGTGACAGCGAACCGAGTCTGTTAGTAGGGTGTTTGTTGGTTTGTTTATGCTTCTCTATCAAAATCTAACCAATGGACCTATTGGTCTAGAATTTTGACATGGACCTTTTCTGTGGAATACTGTACTCCTGTTCACATTTGAGTTGTTTTGAGTAACCGTTATTTTCCGTAAAAGCAAGTGGGTACCCGTTACAAAGTACCCGTTTACAGTTTCATGGACTCATCTATAGCTTGATTAGCTTCCCCTGTCGCTCGTACCAAAAGAAAGTGGCAATTTCCCTTTTGTTTGCTCCAAACGGTGTTTCAATACGCGCGAGTTTTATAAAAATCGGGAGCTTTAGACGATACTCGGAATCAGAGTGTAGGACTTTCGGCCTGGGGTGATTATGAGTAACTTATTCTCCGTATCAAACAATAGGGAACGTGGGTAGCTCTGAGTCTGCTGTCCCCAAAAGATTCCCTATACGTAAATTGAAAAATGATTCGTATGATTAGAATATGCATACTGGTAAACCAATTATATTGACATCTATAAAAAATATTGGTTTTTCTTTTCCGAGTCAGGTTAGCTCTTCTACACCCGACCGATTTTCATAATTTTGGCCTTAAACTAAAAGGTATGGACGTACCACAGATTTGCCATCAAGCATCGGCACTAATTTTGACGTATATTTCGAGTTTTCTGTGGTTATACACAAACTGCCTCCGTGTACATTTCTTTTAAATTTGTTTTTTTTAGTTCGTTTGGCTCTTCTACCTGCCCGATTTTCATAATTTTGGTTTTAAAATAAAGCTATGCAAGCACATATTTGTCATCAAGCATCATCATTAATTTATCTAATATATTACTCGACGAAAGAATTTAATTTTTTTCACTTCAATTAAAGATGTATTCCAGCAGTTCTAATTACATTACCCGATATGTTTTGGTCTAAAACCCTTTAGTGAAATACCAGCTTTCATTTGAGCTTGATTATTAAGATCGGACTTCCCAAAGCACACTAACCACGAATCAACAATAATTACAATCGTTTTAGTACTTATCTGCAATCAATGATACGTTACTCTATTTTTATTTAAGTTATTTTATATGTCTTGGTCTTAAAATACTTCAAAGGCTTTCACTTGAGATATTGATGGTTTTAAACAGATAAGTTCAAGATACTGTATCGCTCAATCAGAAAATATAAATTTGATTATATCTTGGATATGGTACTTCATTCTAATTACGTTATTCTAATTTTTTTTGAACTAAGAACCTTCAGTGAAATACCAGCTTCCATTTGATTTATTGATTATTAAGATCGGACGTACCTAAAGCACACAGCTAATCACGAACAACACAAATTGTTCAAAAAATAGTGTTATTTATCATCGATTTATAGTCAAACGATCTTGCTTGCAATCTCAACAGTAACTGTTGAATTTGACGGGTTTCACCTAGTAAATCTTTAAAAAAAACCAAACTTTTATAATTATTTGCAAATCTACACAAATTAGGCTTTCCAATGACCTATTAATTAATAAAATCGGTTCAGTAGAACTGTATATTTAATTGTACAAAGTTTATAACAACAACATCTTTAATTCAGTATTTTCTCACCACTATAAATTGGGAGGTTGCTTAACGTTTTTGCAAATAACTTTGAAACGGTGAGGAAATCGACCAAAGTGGAAGGTGATATTGAATAAATTTTCACCTTCCATGGTAAAAAAATCACCTTCCTTATTCTGAAAGAGAATAAAATTTCCTACAAATTATTACTATGTATTTTTTTTAATACTCAATAAAGGCAGCCTAAAGTTGGCTAAAAATATAAACTTGGAGAAAAATGAGTTTTAAATGTACTATTGTTTATTTTTATTTTTTCACCTTAAATATCTAATAAAATCAAACTTTCATAATGCTTAAGCAATCGGCCTCGGTGGTGTAGGGGAAGCGTTCCTGGCTGATGAAGTGAAGGTAGCCGGTTCAATCCCCTCC